GCATATTGATGAAGTGTTTATAAATTGTAGTTGTTCTTATTACTTAAATCTTCCTATATGTGGTTTCTTTTTATGCTAGCTTACCCTTTTGTTGTTTTCCATGTGGTTGGACTGCAATGATCATACTATGTATGGGAGCAGAGCAGGGATATGTGGTGTATCTGTAGCTAACAAGTGGAGTTGACTCTTTTTGATGCTTTGTTTGTTTGTGTCACTTGGCATAGTGGCTTTTGATGTAATCCTTGTATTGCACACCCTAACTCTAGTCGGACTCGGGACAATTGTATATATTTATATTCTAGATCCTATATCGATATACCTGTTTTAATCTGTCTAGTGTTTCCGGTGTGTTATGGTTGTGAGTGTAGTGGCTAGCCGGGTCGTTACAGTCATTGAAATGAGATTTTCTTAAAAATTTTCTTAGTTTGCAATGCTTGAAAGTTGAAACACCTGATTATGATAGTGTGATATTATTGTTCTTAACATTTACTTAACTATTCGTGTTACTCTAAATTTGGTAGGTTTTTTTTTCTATCACTTTTTGTTGTTATTTTTTAACACTATAATTATACAATTTTTTAGTTTTTTTTTTTATTTTAACTGTTCTTATTTTTATGATTCTATTCATTTTAATTGCTCGTACTTTCACAGTTACTCATTATGTAACACCCCGATTTTCAAAGATTATATGAAGGCTCAAAGTCTAAATTAGGGTGATTTAGTAGCCCAAAACAGGTCGTTCCCAAATTGGAGTGGGCCATTTCAAACTACTAAAATGGCCTATAAACTCGAGATTGGAACGGGTCATTCCAACATAAGCTATTATGAGTAAATTTTAGACCTAGAACGGGCCGTTCTACTTTGGGAACGGGCCGTTCCAAATATGGTCGTTGTGTGTTAAAACGCAAACTCAAAACGGGTCGTTCTGGTTTTAGAACGGGCTGTTCCAGATGCCAAGTTTATACATGATGGAAGGATATAGAACGGGTCATTCTGGATCTGAAACGGACCGTTCTGGCCACTCCTGAAATCTATAAATAGAGCACTGACACTATTTCTGGACACACTCTCTAAAGATCACAGAGAACCAAGAGAAGGAGATCAACCAGATTCCGCTCTAGCTTTGTCTTCTGCTTATCCAGGTAAGGGGGAGTGAGAAACCTCGCTCGGGAGTGTGAGAATAATTGTTGGGTAGTAGGATTGACCCCCAATTCCTTGCCTAATGCATGCTTCTAGGAATAGGCAAAATATGAATATTTTTTGTTTTGCTTTCTGAATGTCTCGTTGCATTCCTTGTGTGATGTTGAGTGTAAAAATGTGTTTAATTTCAAAAAAAGATAAGTTTTTATATGAATTAAAGTGCTCTGTGGGTTCCTGAGAAAACCCTATGAGAAACAGGCAAAATGTAAATATTTTCTGTTTTGCTTTCTGATTCTTCTGTTGTATTCCTTGTTGAATGAGATGTATGAATATGTGATTAATTTTGAAAATACACAAGTTTTGATATGAATTAGAGTGCTCTGTGGGTTTTTGTGGGAAATCCTATGAAGTAAAATTAGGAATATGATCTTTGGATGATTTTGAGACAATATATGTAAAATTGATGATAGCTTCATGTTTTGGATAATTACTTGGTGATGGAACTACTTGGAGAAGATTGTTGTTCTTCCAAGTTCTCCATGCTTAGGATCATGAACTCTTGAGGTAGAATTCCTTTGAGGTGGCGGAATCACCTTGGAGGATTCTCCAATGTTTTCCTTGCTCTTGAACTCTCGGCGGTGCTCTATTTGAATTGAAGGTGCTGATTGTGGTGTGGAAGCTAGCTGAAGATTCTCATTCTCCGTTGGTCTCCGTTTGTTCCCTCTTCTTCCCCGTTTCTCTTCCCGGAAGCTCGGAATCTTTACCCGAGGTAAGGGAAGTTAGTCTTTTGCTGTGTTTTGCTGAAAACGAGTTCTATAAACTCTTTGATGGTCTGATGTTTGATAAATTTGAGCTGAAAATTTGCTGAAAATGATTAATTGTTTTCGGGTTTTTCTTTTGAGTTCGGAGGAATTTTGGAGAATGTTGATGGTTTGTGAATGCATGTTGAACATAAGGCGTTTTTGTTGATATTTGATGAAAATGTGGAACTTTGAACCGATTGCATGTAGAGTTTCCTGGTTTTTTTGCAGGTATTGAAGAGATTTTTTGAAAATATGAGGTTTGCTGCTGAACTCGCGCTGAGCGCAGTTCCTCACGCCGGGCACGTGGCCACCTGAGGGCAGCATTCAGGCAAGCCCGCCGGGTGCAAAGATGTGTGCACCGGGCGTGCTTGAGGATGTTAGCCTCTGGATGGATTGTGGTGTGGAAGCTAGCTGAAGATTCTCATTCTCCGTTGGTCTCCGTTTGTTCCCTCTTCTTCCCCGTTTCTCTTCCCGGAAGCTCGGAATCTTTACCCGAGGTAAGGGAAGTTAGTCTTTTGCTGTGTTTTGCTGAAAACGAGTTCTATAAACTCTTTGATGGTCTGATGTTTGATAAATTTGAGCTGAAAATTTGCTGAAAATGATTAATTGTTTTCGGGTTTTTCTTTTGAGTTCGGAGGAATTTTGGAGAATGTTGATGGTTTGTGAATGCATGTTGAACATAAGGCGTTTTTGTTGATATTTGATGAAAATGTGGAACTTTGAACCGATTGCATGTAGAGTTTCCTGGTTTTTTTGCAGGTATTGAAGAGATTTTTTGAAAATATGAGGTTTGCTGCTGAACTCGCGCTGAGCGCAGTTCCTCACGCCGGGCACGTGGCCACCTGAGGGCAGCATTTAGGCAAGCCCGCCGGGTGCAAAGATGTGTGCACCGGGCGTGCTTGAGGATGTTAGCCTCTGGATGGCCCACGCCGGGCGGGGGGGTTAGACCGCGCTGGGCGCGATATCGGTTGTGGCTTGTTTTGGGCTTCTGGCATGGTGTTGAGCGCGATCTTGGTCACGCTGGGCGCGAGGACTCCTTGGGGGTCTCTGCCATGGGGGCTCCGGGCACAATTTGAATTACGTTGGGCGCGAGACCTTGGTAGGTCTCTGCCTTCCCCGCGTTGGGCGTGGGTTTGGGCACGCTGGGCGCGTAAGACTCCATGGAGTCTCTGCCTGGCATGCGCTACGCGCAATTGGTATTGCGCCAGGCGCGAGTGAGCCTTGGGCTCTCTGGCTGGGTCCCGCCGGGCGCGGGCATGCTTGCGCTGGGCGCGCTGGCCCCCCTGGTGCTCTCTGGTTGTACTGCGCTGGGCACAACCACGAGTTTCCTGGTTTTTTTGCAGGTATTGAAGAGATTTTTTGAAAATATGAGGTTTGCTGCTGAACTCGCGCTGAGCGCAGTTCCTCACGCCGGGCACGTGGCCACCTGAGGGCAGCATTTAGGCAAGCCCGCCGGGTGCAAAGATGTGTGCACCGGGCGTGCTTGAGGATGTTAGCCTCTGGATGGCCCACGCCGGGCGGGGGGGTTAGACCGCGCTGGGCGCGATATCGGTTGTGGCTTGTATGATTTTTGTATATGACTACGTGAAGTTTCTTGCATGAGACTATGTGAGAATGTGAAAGGTGAATGTATGATCTGTGATATGATATTGTGAAATAATGTGACATGAGATATGATGAGACGTGATAAGTGAAATGTTGAGTCAATGAAATAGTGGATGTATGATATGCATCATGTGCATCTATGATCTATTCTAAGTGTGCCACTTAGGCCGCATACTGATGATGTAACAAGCTAACAAGGTGTACCTTAGAGTCACTGGTGATGTAACAAGCTAACAAGGTGTGACCCTAAGGTGTACCTTAGGGTCATCAGTGATGTAACAAGCTAACATCTGCCTGGCATGCGCTACGCGCAATTGGTATTGCGCCAGGCGCGAGTGAGCCTTGGGCTCTCTGGCTGGGTCCCGCCGGGCGCGGGCATGCTTGCGCTGGGCGCGCTGGCCCCCCTGGTGCTCTCTGGTTGTACTGCGCTGGGCACAACCACGAGTGCGCCGGGCGCAGAGATGATAATTTACTATATGGTGTACAATGTTGTTTTGTACTGAGATAAGTTGAAGTTGATGATTATGATGTGATGACTAGTAGATAATGCTGTTTGATGATGTTGAGCCATATCATATGTATATTGTTGTAAGATGTTTAGATGTGCCGTAAGATGATATGTTGTGCTGTAAAGTTGTGTTGTGTTGTATGATGATATGAGTTGTTGTAGGTCGAAAGACTGAGTTGTTGTAGGCCGAAAGGCTGAGTTGTTGTAGGAGATCTCCGAGATGATATGCGTGACGACGCATTGTGTGCTTATTACTGATTATGATGTACAATCGATGAGATGTATGCTGACGAAGGGTTGATAGTTGTAGTTGTTCATATTACTTAAATCTTTCTATATGGTGTTCTTTTTATACTAGCTTACCCTTTGTTGTTTCCATGTGGTTGGACTGCGATGATCATATTATGTATGGGAGCAGAGCAGGGATATGTGGGTGGCTAGTGGTGAGTCTGCAGCTGGCAGGCGGAGCTGATCCTAGTAGATATTTTGTTGTTTCAGCTACTTGGTGTAGTAGCTTGGATATATTTTTGTACATTTTGAATCTAGTCAGACTTGGACCATGTATATATGTATATTCTAGACACTATATGTATGCACTTGTTCCTTTCTATCCGGTTTTCAGGTGTACTGTGTAGTGTGTAGTGACCAGTCGGGTCATTACACTTTAGTGGTATCAGAGCAGTTCGAGTCTAGTGGACACTCTTTGGGGGTGGTTCCTTTAGGCTTTTGTTGTGTTGAACTCTGTGTTGTGCTGTTTTGTTGTGTTGTTTGCTGTGTTGATTGTTGTGGTGTTTTGTGTGCTGTTGATTGTTGTTTGGTTTAGATATTGTATACTAAAGATGTTGTTGCTTTTATAGACAATGTCTAGAGCCAACGAATAGATAGCCCGGGCCATGGAGATGATGGCCATGGCTATGCAACAGCAAAATGCCTATTTTGCTCGGATGGATGCTGAGAGAGCTACAGCTGGTGCAGTAAGGCCCACTGGGTCACAGGAGAGCCGGGACCTGGTTGAATTCCAGAAATGCCATCCTCCACAATTCAAGGGAGATGCAGATCCAGAGGTGGCTGACCACTGGATTTGTGAGCTTGAGAAGATCTTCACCGTGCTGGGATGTTCTCAAGAGAGGAGGTTAGCATACGCGGTGTACATGCTGGTTGGGGAAGCAGAACATTGGTGGAGGGGTACCCATCACATGCTGACCGCTAGAGGAGTGGTTGTTGACTGGGAATGCTTCAGGAGGATGTTCTTGGAAAAGTATTTCCTGAGAGTGTGAGGCATGCCAAGGAAGCTGAGTTCATGCGATTACACCAAGGGGGGATGACCGTTTCTGAGTATGCGATGAGATTCGAGCACTTGACTCGTTTTTATTCACAAGGTATAGCTGAAGCCTGGAAATGTCAGAAGTTTGCTGAGGGACTGAAGTATGAGTTGAAGAGGGTGGTGGTGCCTATGGCCATCACTGAATTTCCAGCCTTAGTGGAGAAGGAGAAGGTTGTTGAACAGTTGGAAGGTGGTAACCGTGGAGTGAAGATTTCTGAAGGATCAGCTGGGTCCAAGAAAGGAGGGAACCAAAGGAAGCCGTATGATAGGCCTCAACCCCAACAAGGGGGTCCTGTCATCAGGCAACCTTCTGGTGCTGCTGGTGGAGGAGGACAGGGTGGAGGTGCTGCCCTTAGATGTTACAGGTGTGGTGAGCCCCATTTGATCAGGGATTGTCCCCACACAGAGAGCCAGTGTTTCAGGTGCCAGCAGATGGGCCATGTGTCTTTCAACTGCCCCACTAGGAACAGACCGGAGAGGAGTACTCAGAGGGGTGATGTGCAGAGAGGAGATGCCCAGAGGGGTGACAGACCCACCACAACTGGTAGGGTTTTTGCTTTGACAGGTGCTAAGGCTTCGACTTCTTCTGATCTTGTGAAGGGGAAGGGCAGAGCTGCTGGTAAGGATGTGGTATTTTTGTTTGATTCTGGAGCTTCTCACTCCTTTATCTCTTATGCTTGTGTTGCTATGCTGGGTGTGCCTGTGTGTGATTTGGGGTTGAGACTGCTAGTGTCGACGCCCGCTTCTGCTTCGATAGTTGCTTCGGAGCTGTGTGTTGGTTGCCCTATTGTTGTGAATGGGAAGAAGTATAAGGTAAACTTGATTTTGTTTGCCTTTGGTTGATATTGACGTAATCTTAGGGATGGATTGGTTATCTGCCAATCGTATCCTTATAGATTGTGCCAATAGGCGGTTGATCTTTCCTCAGGAGGAGGATGAGTTGTTGATTTCAGCTGGCCAAGCTGAATCATTGCTGAGGGATGGAGTAGAGTGTTGTCTTCTGCTTGCTGCTATGAGTGTGGAGATTGATAGGGTCATTGCGGAGATCGATGTGGTGCAGGATTTTGCTGAGGTGTTCCCGGATGAAGTGCCTAGGTTGCCTCCTACTAGGGAGATGGAGTTTAGCATTGACTTGGTTCCAGGTGCGGGGCCAGTGTCGGTGGCTCCCTATAGGATGGCTCCTGCTGAGTTAGTTGAGCTGAAGGGTCAGTTGGAGGACCTATTGGAGAAGCAGTTGGTGCGGCCGAGCGTTTCGTCGTGGGGTGCTCCTGTGTTGTTGGTGAAGAAAAAGGATGGAGGTAGTCGACTTTGTGTGGATTACCGGCAGTTGAATAAGTTGACCATTAAGAACAGATATCCGCTACCCCGGATAGATGACTTAATGGATCAGCTTAGGGGAGCATCCGTTTTCTCGAAGATTGACTTGAGGTCAGACTATCACCAGATTAGGGTGAAGGAGGGTGACATACTGATAGCAAACTTAGGAGAAGTGAATGATGATCTTCTCCACGGATTTGCTTAGGCTGGATCTTCTTCAAAGGAGACTTGATTCCACAACTAAGAGCACTTGAAGACTATGAACTCACGGATACACTCTTCCAAAGTTTAGGAGGGAAGCATCCAAGCACAAGCATCAATGGATTCTCACTTCAAAAAGTAGGAAAGTAGACAACTAGCCTAGGGTTTTTGAAGGTGAGAGGTTGGAGACTTTTGAGAGAGGAAACTCGGCCAATGGCTCACAAATTTCTATTATGTTCAAAAGTGAGTACAATAGGTGAAAGGAGGGAACATATAGCTTCCGAAAATTAGGAGTACACTTGGCACCACATGAGTGGTCACATGTTGGCGCCAAGATTTGAATTCAAATTCAAATTTGAATTCAAACCTTGTGTCACATGTGCATAACCGGTCATGAAGAGCTAAATGCAAATTAGATTGAATTTAGTATGTATTTAGGGTTGCATTTCGGTGTCACACTTGTGCAGCCAAGGTGGTGCCAAGAGTGTGACCTAAATGCAACTTAAATCCATCCTAAATTTAACCTAATTTGTCCTAATTCAAATGAACTACTAATCCTCCTTAAATCCTAATCTAATGACCAAAATACAATGGTCTAAGGAATACAATGGAAAGGAAAAATTACAAGAATGAAAATGAGCCCAATATTGCGCGAGTGAGCCTTGGGCTCTCTGGCTGGGTCCCGCCGGGCGCGGGCATGCTTGCGCTGGGCGCGCTGGCCCCCCTGGTGCTCTCTGGTTGTACTGCGCTGGGCACAACCACGAGTGCGCCGGGCGCAGAGATGATAATTTACTATATGGTGTACAATGTTGTTTTGTACTGAGATAAGTTGTTCCCTTGTTGTTATTTGTGTGTTTTAAATTGTATTGCAGGTGATCATCAACGTGAGGATGTTGGTGATGAGGCTTAGGCTTCAGTTGAACATGCTCTGATAGGATATGTGACATCGGGACATAGCTAGACTTAGTTTAGGATTTCATTATTGTATTTGTCTTAGAAAGACTCATGTTTCTTTTTGCTATAAATTTCACATTTGACCATGATTTAAGTTTACGAATGTGAATTCTTTACTTTTATGTTAATAGAACTATTGTTTTAATTCTAAAGATTTTATTTAACCCAAGAATATGTTTTATAATTTTCCTATATGTATGTTAGGGTAGAGGGTGTCACATGATACAACTCGAAAGGATTTTCTTAATGATATTATAAATGAAATGAATATTATTGGACTTGATATTTGAAACTTAAGAGGACAAGGTTATGATAATGGATCAAATATGAAAGGAAAACATCAAGGTGTGCAAAAAAGAATTTTAGACATTAATCCTAGATAATTTTATACTCCATGTGGTTGTCATAGTCTAAATTTGGTACTTTGTGATAAGGTTAATTCTTATCCTAAAGCTACTTCATTTTTTTGGAGTACTATATATATATATATATATATAATATATATATATATATATATATATATATACCTTATTTTCTTCTTCAATTAAAAGATGAAAAATTCTACAAGATCATATCCCTAGTTTGACTCCTAAATCATTGTCATAAACATGTTGGGAAAATCGTATTGAAAGTGTAAAAGATTTAAGATTTCAAACTTTACAAATAAGATATGCTTTATTCAAATTAAGTGAAACTAATGATGATCCTAAAATAAAAAAGTGAAGTTGATTATTTAGCAACGTATGAGCTTGAAAATTTTGAATTTTTGTTAGGCATGATTATTTGACATGACATATTATTTGTAGTATAGTAATAAAAAGTTACAATCAAAAGATATGAGTATTGATGTTGTTATAGAACAATTAAAAGGTCTTATTTCTATTTTTGAAAAACATATGGAAGACAAGTTTGAAAATGGTGTAATTTTTGTCAAAGAAATTGTTATTGAAATAAATATAGAACCTAAGTTTCATGAAAGACGTATTATTTGTAAAAAAAAAAAAAAAAATCTGATAAGATTGTTGATAATGAAGCTATAAAATCTTTGAAATAATCATTTAAATTGATTTTTTTTTCATATAATTGATTAAGTAATTGTGCATTACAAAGTAGATTTGAATACTTTAAAATTTTTAGTTTTCTATTTAACATTGAGAAATTAAAGTCACTAAACAATAAAAATTTAAAAGAATATTACCTTAATATTGAGTATTCATTAAAACATAATAATCACTCATATATTGATGAATTATATTCATTTACATAACTTAAACTTGTAAGAGGAGTTATACAAAGCAAAAAATAATACACCAATTAACATACTTAATTATTTAAAAAGAATGAATTTTTTCTCCAAATACATATATTGCTTTTAGAATAATGTTAACAATTTGTATTAACTGAAAGAACTTTTTTAAAATTAAAATTAGCTAAATTTTATTTAAGATCAACAATGTATCATATAGATTAAATGAATTAGCTTTAATATTAATAAAAAAAATAATAATAAAATTGATTATAATAATTTAATATGCAACTTTGCATCTATAAAAACTCGAAAACTAAACTTTCAATAAAAAAATATTTTTATTGAAATATTTTTATTTTTATCAAAATATATTATCATTAATTTTAAAAAGACTTCACTTTAAGATTTGTTGACTTAAAAATATGTTAGGCCAATATATTTATTAGTTATTAATATAAAATATTTTATAAAATCACAAAAAAAGTGATGTTGTAAAAGCTGTACAATTTTTGTTTTATATATATCATTACTCATAATTTATTATTTACACTCTTTATTATTAGTTGAAATTTATAAAAAAAAATTATCAAATTTATGAGTATTACATACTATTTAATTTTTTGTTTCTCTTTAAATTTAGTGATAATCTCTTTTAAAATTTGTAATTTTTAACTAATAAAAGAGAATATATAAATGAGAGAGTGTTAGAGAGTGTCAGTACTAATTTTTAATTTAAAAAAATAGCCAAAAGTAATTCCAAGTTCCAACCAAATTCTCAAAAGAATAAATAGTTACAAATAAATAAGGAGTTTTGGTATCATCCAAGTAAAACACATACAATTTATTGATTTTTTTTTAATTCCTGATTATAAACTATATAAATTCCTCATTCAAACACATTATAAAGGTAATTTAGAAGTACAATTATCTAGAGTCTCCTAATTGGGAGGGGCCAAATTTTTTTAGTCTCGCATATGTTTTAAGAAAAAAAAAATGGAAAATACTTGTTTTATATTTTTACGTATCTTAACACCTTGAATTCATTTTATATTTTTGAACGTTTTTAAAATAAAGGATTTCATATTTATGCTTTAACCGTCACTCAAATTTTTTTTTTAAGAAATATTTATTTTTATTTATGAAAAGAACATCTTTCAAGTTTTATCATTAGAACTATCTTTCAGTTTTATATTAAATAACGACTCTGAAAAGAAAATGAAATTAAAAAGTCTACTGTAACACCTTGAATTTTCTTGTTGATTATTATTTATTAATTAAAGGGATTTTATAGAGGTTTGTATTAATTTAAAATTATTTATGAAATTTTTATAAATTATATTTTTTAGGCTGGAACGGGCTGTTCCAAAAGTGGAACGGACCGTTCCAGATAATGAAAATAAGTTGTTTTTGAGGGACCAGAACGGGCCGTTCCAAAAGTGGAACGGGCCGTTCCAAAGAAGAAAATTACTCATTTTTGTATTTCCAGAACGGGTCGTTCCCAAAGGGAAACGGGCCGTTCCAAGGTTATGAAATTGCCTAAAGACCTTAGTTGGAAACGGGCCGTTCCAACTATGGTCAATGAGTGTTAACGTGAACTTCAGAATGGGTCGTTCTGCTTTTTGAAATGGGCCGTTCTCCTTTTTTAAACGGGCCATTTCGATTTTGGAACGGGCCGTTCCAGTTGCTCTGAGTTGTTGTAGGCCGAAAGGCTGAGTTGTTGTAGGAGATCTCCGAGATGATATGCGTGACGACGCATTGTGTGCTTATTACTGATTATGATGTACAATCGATGAGATGTATGCTGACGAAGGGTTGATAGTTGTAGTTGTTCATATTACTTAAATCTTTCTATATGGTGTTCTTTTTATACTAGCTTACCCTTTGTTGTTTCCATGTGGTTGGACTGCGATGATCATATTATGTATGGGAGCAGAGCAGGGATATGTGGGTGGCTAGTGGTGAGTCTGCAGCTGGCAGGCGGAGCTGATCCTAGTAGATATTTTGTTGTTTCAGCTACTTGGTGTAGTAGCTTGGATATATTTTTGTACATTTTGAATCTAGTCAGACTTGGACCATGTATATATGTATATTCTAGACACTATATGTATGCACTTGTTCCTTTCTATCCGGTTTTCAGGTGTACTGTGTAGTGTGTAGTGACCAGTCGGGTCATTACACTTTAGTGGTATCAGAGCAGTTCGAGTCTAGTGGACACTCTTTGGGGGTGGTTCCTTTAGGCTTTTGTTGTGTTGAACTCTGTGTTGTGCTGTTTTGTTGTGTTGTTTGCTGTGTTGATTGTTGTGGTGTTTTGTGTGCTGTTGATTGTTGTTTGGTTTAGATATTGTATACTAAAGATGTTGTTGCTTTTATAGACAATGTCTAGAGCCAACGAATAGATAGCCCGGGCCATGGAGATGATGGCCATGGCTATGCAACAGCAAAATGCCTATTTTGCTCGGATGGATGCTGAGAGAGCTACAGCTGGTGCAGTAAGGCCCACTGGGTCACAGGAGAGCCGGGACCTGGTTGAATTCCAGAAATGCCATCCTCCACAATTCAAGGGAGATGCAGATCCAGAGGTGGCTGACCACTGGATTTGTGAGCTTGAGAAGATCTTCACCGTGCTGGGATGTTCTCAAGAGAGGAGGTTAGCATACGCGGTGTACATGCTGGTTGGGGAAGCAGAACATTGGTGGAGGGGTACCCATCACATGCTGACCGCTAGAGGAGTGGTTGTTGACTGGGAATGCTTCAGGAGGATGTTCTTGGAAAAGTATTTCCTGAGAGTGTGAGGCATGCCAAGGAAGCTGAGTTCATGCGATTACACCAAGGGGGGATGACCGTTTCTGAGTATGCGATGAGATTCGAGCACTTGACTCGTTTTTATTCACAAGGTATAGCTGAAGCCTGGAAATGTCAGAAGTTTGCTGAGGGACTGAAGTATGAGTTGAAGAGGGTGGTGGTGCCTATGGCCATCACTGAATTTCCAGCCTTAGTGGAGAAGGAGAAGGTTGTTGAACAGTTGGAAGGTGGTAACCGTGGAGTGAAGATTTCTGAAGGATCAGCTGGGTCCAAGAAAGGAGGGAACCAAAGGAAGCCGTATGATAGGCCTCAACCCCAACAAGGGGGTCCTGTCATCAGGCAACCTTCTGGTGCTGCTGGTGGAGGAGGACAGGGTGGAGGTGCGCAGGCGGAGCTGATCCTAGTAGATATTTTGTTGTTTCAGCTACTTGGTGTAGTAGCATACTTTAAAAAGGAATTATTTTAATTTAAAAAAAAATAAACTACACTACAATTATACTTCTTTTCTCTAAAATTATATTATGCCTTTAATATATAAAAAGTATAATTCTCTTAATAAAATTATATGTCTATTTTTTATTAAATATATTTTAATTTTATACTTATATTTAAGGAGTCATACTTTATTATTTTAGCTAGGGTATTTACAGAATGTCAGAATCAAACCTGCTCGTGCTTATTAATTATAAGATACAATTAATATTGTGTGAGATTAATTTTCTATGCTTCAACCAAATAAAATAATTAGAAATTTGGGTGATGACCACTTCCAAATATTTAATCTATTAAAGCAAGACTAAGATATAAAGAGTAGACATTCACCATAGGTAAATTAATTAAGGATATTTTTAAAACATTTCGAATACGTACG